CATGTTTTTAAATGAAATTGACAGTCCTTTGGCAAGTTTATGTGCATTAGGTGTGGGGCATGCTGAGTACGTTCAACAAATTTATTCTGGAATGTATGGTCTTCGCATGCACGCTGAACGCATTGGAAAACTCATTCCCAGTCTGTCTTTCTTTTGCCGTAGCCTTGGCTCTGTCCCAATGTGTCCTGAATTGGCAAAAGCCAAGCAGTGCCTACAAATATGTGAATCAGACACAGCCTCAATCTCAGGCCGTGTCCGAAACAGGCTTCCAGAGCTCCGGCTGGATCTGATGTCTACGCATCTCCGCACATTTCCAATGGAGGGAAGACCTAGACCTAGCTCTAGACAAGAGATTCGGATGCAGCCTAACTCTAATACAAGTTACAGATCTGGCCTTCTACAATCTCGCCGTGCCCTGCAAAAAAAGACAATACTACAGTCGCCTCCTTCCTGAAACAAACTCTTACCCATAGCAACCAAATCACTAAGCCATTAGCAACAAGTGGGTGCTTTGTGTGTACTTTTCTAATGCTCTACAAATTTGGGCACAATTCTGAAAAGTGCACATGTAGTTGAATTTCAAATCAATTCTGCCGTCTCCACTGGCTTGGGTTTTAACTATTTGAAGGTGTGATGCATCCATGGTTCAATAATGCCCCGGACAAGAAAATCTACATTATGAGAATTCGGCAGTGAATAAATATATGAAAATGACTAACTCCTCCAGCAATAATGAGGAGGCAAAAGTTGAATAGTTGGGGGGGGCGGGAAGACAAAATTTCTGTTACGCTTCATAAATACTGACGTGTACGTGTATGTTGGGTGTAACCGGTCAATCTGCATTGTCTGTCAATCACACTGCACTATCGGTCAATCCTGTAGGAAATCTTCAACTTGATCAAAACAATCTTTTAGAACCATGAATAAGTTCAAGAGAAAGAGATGGGAACTGATACAGGATTGAAAAATCATGCTGAATAAGGATTGCCAAATCAAGATCAAATGTCCGAGCAATTGACCGATCACACAAATTGACTGATCTGAATTTTTCTTTACCATAGATAAGCTGTACAATCTTGACTTGTTTAGTTGTCCCATAGACATCTACAATGCCATAGAATGGACTGTCCAATTTTGCATCCTCCATTAGTGATGCTCCTTGGTCCTCTCCGTTGATAATGAAATGCATGTACACTCTGTCCCCGTGTATTTGGTAGGTGACAGCTATTCTGCTCCCGACTGACGTCGCAAAGTACTGCTGCTGGCCTGAGATCCAGCTGGCCTCTTGATCAAGGGCTATGAAGTCCTGTACCAAAAAGTGCTTGGGGATCTCTGAGCATCCGATCTTCAGGAAGTCGACGCCGTCCTTGATGAACTCGTTCCTGGCCCGGGCCTCCATCTCCGGAAGGTTGAGCTGTTCATCCGGCACCCTGTTGTGGTGCTTGGTGATGGCGAAGATCCAGGACTTGCCCATATTGGTCAGGTCAGGCATGGAGTACTGGGGGATGGTCAGCGGCACAGGCGCTGAACTAGCCCGCGCCACCTGGCCCTGAGGATGCGAATCCAGGGCCAGGCGGTTGGAGGGTCGGTCCCTGGGCCAGCTGGCTTTGAGAGAGGCTGGGTGGTGCTGGGTCAGGCCACAACGGAGATGGCCACTCCAGCCTGGCTCATGTTCTTCCACTTCCACCAGGAAGAGCTCCCCGGGCCGTAGGGGCCGGTCACTGAAGGTAATGGCATTAGCAAAGCTTGCAGAACGCCGGGCCACCTGGTTGTCATGCCTGAGTTCAATGTTGACCCCGTGGTTCTCATGGAAACGTATGAGTGGCATGGGAACTGCTCATCCTTGGTCAACACTGTGAGGATGTCATAGGATCTGACCCAGTTATGTCTTTTGCTGGAACAAACGACACAGTGATTTTGAAAAAACTTTAAAGACCTAAAATCAATGCATGCACTTCAGCAGCAAGTGTATAAATAGAGTTGTGCCCCTATGCAAAAGGAATTTTCTGAAGCTAAAAATCAATCACTGTTTTAGGAACTCTGTGAGTATTTATGTACTTCAGGCCACAGCAACTGTAAATATTGTTCAGTCACTGTTAATTTGTGCCTTTTAAAGACATACACTGTATATAATCAAATGAAACTTGAACAATGGAGACATTAAACGTGGTTGAGCGTGTAAGGGCACCTCAGACAGATATCAAAGAACCCACATCCACCCACATCTGCAGAGTTGAGATAATACAATGTAGTTACATTTTCGGTTTTATCACGTTGACTTTCAATAATGTCCATGACAGTAAAGTCTGAAAGTCACCAGGTTACTTTGTGGTCACGGACATTACTCTTCCATAGCCTACCCCTAGAACTCTTCCCCTCCCCCCCCCAACTCTGGGGGTCCTCATGCATCCACGGTGGACGATGAATCCCAGAGATCTTGGGGGTTCATGGGAGCACAGCGGAAGATGAACCTCAGACATGCTATTAGGCCATGAGAAAGTTAATCCTGGATTTCCATCCACCGCCGGCATACTGCCATGACTACCAAAACAGCCGGCCCAAAATTTCATTATTTTTAAAATAATCATTCCAAAATTAATTCCAAGTTATTATTTCAGAAAAATCATTGTTTTTCCCATCAGGAATGGTTACAAAAATAGCTGCCAAGTAAATTGGGAGGTAGTGCGCCTGCATACAAATGGTGTGATGACTAAGAGCTAGTCTACTTTCAAGGTTGGTTCCCTTTGCATGGACGTGTACTCGCTATCGATGTGCAGTATGTGTACCAACTAATGAATCATGAAAAAAATCCTCAGGGCTTTTCAAATTGTCATTATTCATTATTATTAATTTTATTATTAATATTCATTCTTATGCCATGGCCTTAGTATTTTCCAAAATTTCAAATTAAAGGAATGGGCATAATCACGATTATGAAAGATACACAGGTACAACTATAGAATACAGGGCCACTCATCCGTTCCACCTCATAGCCGGCTACGAGGTCAAAGGTCAGGCGTATACGTATACCATGCACCAGTTCAGTACAGTCAGGTGTACAGATATACCACGCACCAGTTCAGTGCAATACATATACGCACACCACGCACCAGTTCAGTGCAATACATGTAATGAAAGACTATAGAGGGTGCTTTTTCTTTGCCACTACAAGAGGCCACTAGATGAGGGTGCTTTTTTTTATTTACTATAGCCAATAATAAACTCAGGCCAAAAGGATTCGTGGCTTGGGAGGATTTATTTTAGAAGGGACCCAAACTTCTCTGATCAGATTTTCACCGGTATTCACAAAGTTCTCTGACAATCTTTTGAAATTACAACAAAAACCAATGGTGTTCACTGCCTTTAAAGCTTCTTGACATTCCCACCATTTTCAGTGTTTCAACTATCCATGTATTAGTTTTATAGTAAAACTATAATGTATACAATATACATCTAGTTTATCAGTTCACAAAAAATGTTTAGTAAAGGATTTTCATTCAGCGTTGCCTCACTTTCGGGCTGCCGCCTTTGCAACATCGTAGCCGGCTACAGGGTACTTGGTTTGGACTATAAAATGTTCCCCACAAGCCCATTCATTCAGCCTTTGTTCACAGTCACGTTCTCTCTCTCGAAATCGTGGCCGCCAACTGGGTGCTCAGTTTGGACAATTTTTTGACCATCTCCATTCTTTATGTGTTGCTTCGTTCTCAACAATAACTCTTCCAACAATTTGTAGCCAGTGAAGAGGGTAAATTCACGCATGGTCGTATTCGCGCGTGGCCCTGCATTCTTATTCTACACTCTGATCATGGAGGTAGAATTCTACCTCCATGCTCTGATCATGCTCCGATGTACATTACAAACATGACAAAGAGAGTACGAAACACAGGACTGTCATGACAGTATGCCTAGTCATGCTAGTATTGATGTTAGCAGTTATTAAACTCTAAAACATAGCCTACCAGTTCTGAATAGATCAATAGATGCTGGCAGTGTCGGTGTCGTCATCACTGTCGGTCACTGTCACTCTCAAATTTGGAGGCATAGGCCTATATGGGGGGCTGACGTGAAAGACGTGCAATGGGCCTACTGGACTAAAGCGCCCTCAAGTGCACTACGATAGCATGGAACCAGTCTACAATTTTGAGGACGTGATTCCTGACGACTACTCATGCTGTTACACATATCACGGGTCATTTGAGTTTCATTGTTTGGAACTACGGCTATGGCTGTTTTCAGCACGTGAACCATTATGTACCAAGGCGGAGACGCAGATCTTTCTAGCTAGCTCCAAACACAAAATCTGGACTCGATTGGTCAGCGCAGTTTTTTGCCGCAGACGTCAGATTATCTAAACTTCAGTCCTCCTTTCAAAGACCATGGCGTTGTTTGTCGCCAAAAAGTATCGCTGCGAAGCACAAAGACCTCATCCATGATGTTGCTTTTGACTTCTATGGCCGCCGGATCGCCACTTGTTCCACTGACCAGAGTGTGCAGGTACATGTAGGGCGTCATGGTTGCACTACACCAAATACGCACCCATAGAAAACATTGCAAAATCGGACCGAAATAGCGCCGCCTGTTGACTCCCGTGAAGAGGTTGGCCCCTGTATTTTCACAGGAATTTCAAGATTATGGCCAGAAAATCACTTTTCGTTTCAATTTCATGGGGGTTAGCCATGAAATTTTTTTTTTTCGCCTTTGAACGAAGATACGCCCAAAAAAACAATAAAACTAAGCGCTTATTTCTGAATGTAACCCCCCCGGCTCTATCCAAAATAGGTCTGCAATTTCGGGCTTTTTGTGAAAGAAATGCCCTGAACCAGTCAGTCCTAAATTCGAGATTTATAGAAATATTTCTATCATGCCTCCTGATTGTGGCCTGAGGTATTTCCTGGGCACTTTTGTCCGACTCCTTGAATCAAATTTACTTGTGGCAACAATTTGAAATGAACGCAAGGTTGTTAATCGGAAGGTCGTCAAAAATTGATTTTACTCTGAGTCATTTTCTGTTTTTTTTACTGATCGGAACTCGCCATCAAGCGGATGGTTTGGGGGTTACATGTACGTACCTACACCTACGAGGGCACAGTGCAAGTGATGATGTACAGTCGCTTCCCTAATTCTGGATTTCAAAAATAACTCCATGGTCAGATTCCAGTGACAAAATCGTATAATTCTGGTGAAATATGGGCTGTAGTCCACCTTCTGTATTGGAATAAAACACAACAGTACTTTCAAAATCTAAACTTTTAATTCAGACTTACAGGGTCATCAAAAGTGACAACATTTTTCTAGTTCTGAATCGGTTTAACCAGTTCTGAATAGTGACAATTTTGTTTTCTTGTAAAAAAAAAGTCAAATATCCATTTTTAGCCAGGGCCATTGTAGAAAGCTGATTTTCTAATTAAGAATTTCTTGATTTCAAGAAAATTAGTTCATAAATAACAATGTCAGTGGAATAAAAAGTGAAACTTACATAAATTTTGACCCAAGTTTTTCAGCTGTACTGCGAGAAACCAGCGACTATCCCCCACGCTGTACAGTTGACGAACCCATTACGTCACATACGTGTACATTTCTGTTACGCCCATGTAGTTGAGGTCGCAACATACATGCGTGCATTTACATGTGTATGTGAATGTTATTTGTAATTGTTTCATGTGTGGCGTTCAGGTTTGGGACCTAGGAGAAGATGGCGAATGGCACTGCACATCAGCCTGGAAGGTACGTACATCCTGGCTGAAATTCACCATTAAAATCTACAACTTACAAGACTACACAGCCAGTTAACCAAACGTTTATTAGACCAGTTTTTTTTTTCATAGTTTTTTCTTTTACAAAAGCACAAAAATAATCCCACACACATTTTGTTATCCATTTGAAAATACTCAGCTTATTGACCTAAGAGACGAAGTCTGGGAAATTTCACAATGCCGTGTAATGGTTTCCCATTTTGGGGTGGGGGAGTTGGGGACTTTAAAAATGGATAACTGGAGAAACTATTGTTCCCTGTCATTTGCCTCATTCTTGTGGCATTGTGTCAGTCCTCTGAATTCAGAACTGTACAGAAAACAGGACGAGGCAGTAATTGGTTTTGCTGTTAATACTGTTGTGCATTGAACAAAACTTCAGATAGAACACTGTTTTGATTTGCCATGGTTAGGGTTTAGTCCACCCATGTCAGTCCAACATGATTCTGTGTAATATTCACTGAACCTTGGAGTTGGATAAAGCCTGAATGTAATTTTAATAAAGGCAAGGAGATCACTTCATATTTGTTGAATCACTTGAAATGATTTAAACACCGTAATTGGGCTCCCGCATCAAGTCTTAATAAACTAACCGCAACGTAGTGCTAATTTGAATCAAAAAGATTTTGGCATATTGTCTGAGGAAAGTTTGCTCATGTTCACTGCTGCATCAATGGGAATGTATTTTTTGTGTGTGTCCTCATAGCAAACATCTTGCAAAGTAATGTTGAAAACATGTTAAAAGGTACATGGATCATATATCAAGCTTGTCATCAAATAAGAGTGAAAAGGGCTTTGATCTTTTTTAACTACTTGATATGCAGAAAAATATGAGACATTGCTTTGTTTTCAGAATTTTTAACTTTGTAAACAATATAAAGTGTGGTCAGTATGGGCTGGAATGTTGTGACACTTTTGAAGTAATAAGCTTAATTTCTTGGAACACAGCATCACAGTGGCTCAGTGTGGAGGGTTACCTGGGCCCATCCAGAGTTTGGTCAGGTGCTGGCTTCCTGTTCGTTTGACCGCACAGCTGTGGTCTGGGAGGAGATTGGTAAGATCTCTAGAGAGATGTTCTCTGGTTCGAAAAGCAGAGAGAAAGTCCCTGGCGAAGCATTTCAACTTTTTGAAAATGATTGGTGTCTCCAAGCTCTCTGTCATCCACGATGTTTTACCTAATTTTAATGGATTTCAGATTTTTCTCCTTACCATTCAAGTTATTTGCTCCATGTTCCATATTCTGTACTGTAGTCACACTTTGGGGGATGTACTGGGAAATTTTTTCCTTTTTTTTCCCCTTTGGGGTCAAGTAACACGCATGTTCTTTGCCAGGGAGCAGTGAGTTTGTCACCAAGAAGTGGCATTTTTATTGGCACGTATACAGAATGTCACATTTTGAGATGTGCCTATGCTGCCCATAAACACTTTTCCTGAATACTCCACTATATAATTAACAATGTCAAGTCACACAGATATCTGAAAGTCATGTTAGAAGTATGTATTTTTTGAATGCTGCGAGGAGTTTCTTTTTTATTCCCACAGTTGGTGAGTCCAATCCAAATGAGAAGGGCCAGAGCCATTGGGTAAGCAGAAAGTTTTTTTGTGGATACAGACTGGGCAAAACTGTCAATCAGTTAATTCATTTATTTAATCCTTTCCTGTCTTTTTTAGGGGGTGGCATCATTGGGGGAATTGTAGGGAGGGATTTTTTTGATGAGATTTGAAGCTTTTCATCCTGTTCATGGTGGAGAAAGCAAGTAAACTAGATGGGTTTATGTTAGCACGATGGATATATCTCTTTTTGAGCATGTGGGATTCTGAAAAGAACCGGCGCTACTCAATGTTTCAGACAGCATTGGACAAAGCATACTGTCCGAAAAGTTGCGTACCATTGGTTCTTTTCAGAATTCCACATGCTCAAAAAGAGATATATCCATGGTGCTACCATAAACCCATCTAGGGACTTTTAGTTTTTGTGAATTTTTTTTTCTCCTATCAAACATTTGGAGACACCTACCACGGTATAATTCACAGCCTTTCATCAAGTAAAAAGTTGATTTCGTTTAGTCCTCCTCAGAAATGTGTCGGCTGTAGTTTCTGTACTGTAAAGTGTGTACGTTTTGAGGACCGCAGGCAAACGAGACTTTGATATGAGTTTTGTCCTGAAAAAAATGTGCAGATTAAGCGAGCAGCACTGGTGGACAGCAGAACCTCGGTCACAGATGTGAAGTTTTCGCCACGACACCTTGGCCTCCAGCTTGTAAGAATCACACTGTAAAGTTTAATAGCTTTCATTTGTTTAGCCACAGAAGCATGACGTTTCTTCTTTTTTGGGGGGGGGCGGCAAACTTAATCTCATTCTCCTGAGAACAAAGATGATACTGGAAAGAACCTTCAGTAGTGCTATGTCGGCAAATGGTCAGCCTGACAAAGAAGAAGTGTTATTGCTTTGTACAAATTGATCAAAATTAAATTTAAATTTACGCTCTTAGCCTTTTTCCCCTGCCAGAAATGGATCTTATTTACTTTCAATCTTCCACAGGCAACTTGTTCAGCTGACGGTGTGGTGCGTTTTTATGAGGCTAGTGATGTGACAAACCTAGCGACATGGAGTGCACAGGTAGTAAATGCTTCTCCACATTCTCCTTTACTTTCTTCCGGCTGTGACTGTATTTAATGCGTCAAGTCTTCATGGGGATGAAAAATTGATCCCTCCCCCACCTAGCTCACGTTCATTAACCCTAACCCTCCTCAATCGTCCAACAGGTGAAGGATTGAGGAGGGTTAGGGTTAAGGTCATGTGACATACATATGACCCACGTATGACGTTCCTTTTAACCGATGGGAGCAGGCCACTCACTGAACCCCTTCTTTATCATCTGAAATTTGAGAAAAGGTCTATCATCTGAAAATCAAAACAGATTGAAATCTCTGTCTAGCACAAGGAAAAGACAGAGTTCAGTGGGATTTGGGGCTTTTGGCTATCCAAACATCATGGCAGATTGCCGATGGCATTAGCTTTGTTGAGACATGTTGTTAAAGATGTTGAGGTTTATTTCTTGTGCGAGGTGTTTTGCCTTGAAAGTTAATGGACACTTACATGGCTGTTGGACTTTTATAGCTGGAAAACATGACTGGACTAATCTCAAGACATGTTCAGGAAACTGAAAAAGACAAACAACTTTTTTTCTGTCTAAATATCTCAGTTTTTATGTCCATTCAGCAGCACCGCTGACTTTAACTCTGAATTTGGCAAGGTCGTTTTGTTTTTTTGTAGCCGATGTCCAAATTGTCATTCAATGTATTGCCCTTTACCTTTGAATGGGCCTCCTGTGAGTCTAGCTCTGCAGAAACGTTACATTAGAAACATTTTCTCTGCTAAAAGGCCTTATGCAATATAGTGGGGAACCAGGGGCAATCTTGTGTCTTCCAGCCACAGTGTGCTCCAGAATGTTCTTTTTCTCAACAGGGAACTGAGGACACCCATACTGACCTCGAAATTATACTCCACAAACTTATTTTTGTCTTAAGATTTCAGATTTAGATGTCCACCCTAGGATTCTTACCTAAAAGTAATCTTTACTGAAGCTGGCAAATCCTGCAGTGGGCAGTGTCTGTTGGACTCGGTTGGTCTCAGCACCGAACACAGACTGTCTGCAAAAGCTGCTTGGGTTTCTCTAAATTTCAGAGCAAAACAGCTGCGTGCATACCTTTGTGACTGCTGGATTATTTTTGAATGCAGCAATGTCCTAGCAAAGGTTTAGAGAAATGAATGTTGTGAAGGTTTAGTTTGGTTGTCCAAAATGGAGTGCTCAAGTTATACAATGCCTCTCCACTGTCTCCCTTTCACCTTCTCTCCAGCTGTGATCGTAGTTAGTGTGTCAAGCCTTCATTTTATTTTTGGCATGAGGTGTTTTACCTGGAAAGTTTATAGACACTTAAATGGCTGTGAGGGTTTTAGAGCTAGAAAAACGTGACTGGACTACTCTCAAGATTCATTCAAACAACAGAAACAGACAAACAACTTTTTTCTGTCTGAAGACTTCAGTTTAAAAATGTCCATTCTGCAGTACCACTGTCCAAAGGTCCAAAAAGTCGTCCATTGTATTGTCCTTTGCTTCTTAATGGGTCTCCTGTGAGTCTAGCTCAGCAGATGCATTAAGTCAGAAACATTTTCTCTGCTAAAAGGTCTTATGCAACATAGTGGGGACCCAGGAGCAATCTTGTGTCTGCCAGGCACAATTTGCTCCAAAGTGTTCTTAGTCTTCAGGGAACTAAGGACACCCGTGCTAACCTAGAAATCATCCTTTACATTGCTGTCTATGACTCAGCACTTTTTTCTGTTCACATTCAGCCTGAAGTGTTTGTGGCTGCAGCGTTAACAGACACTTTAGTGGGCATGGAAGGTTTAGACCTTAATAAATGTTACCAGAATTATCTCTAGATAGGAAACAACAACTGGCAAACAACTTCCAACTGTCCAGAATCGCCTTCAGGCCTCAGACTACTAATTTTAGGTCTAAATTCCAAGACCCTGTGTGGTTCTTGGAACCAATTAACCATAAGGCGCTGCAGGTGACTTCCCCAAACATGATCCTCTGTTCTTGTAAAAACATAGTAAGTGATATTGTTCATTTTCCAAATTGTTGGTGCAACATTTGCCACCTCAAAAGATTGTATAAGTTCCACCACAAATTGGTGTCTTGTTTATGGACTTCAGCATTTGTGTAACTTTCATTAAATGTGTCATGACTTGTTGCACAACTTCCATAATAAAAGGTAGCATGAGTGGAGTTGCATCATACAAACTTGCATGATTTTTTTGGGAGGGGGTGGTCTTACTGCTGGTAGTCTCAGAGAAAATTTTTAGTTCTTTTAATGTCGCTGTGATGCAAAGAAAGATTATCACTGAAATTTGATGTGAATTTCCATGTTCAGAGTTGTTGATTTTTAAAGCGTCAGCCAGTTTTGTATCTATGTTTATAAGGTAACATTGCTGTCTATAACTCGACACATCAGGGGAGCTTTGTCAGGAGTTTTCCTGATGTGAAGATTTTTTTCATCAGGAATTTTCCAAATTTCAGGGTTTTTCAAGCAATCTCTTTTAAATCTGGAAAACCCTTTGTTTACCATTTATGTGGTTTGACATATAAAAGTTGATATTGAGCAGAAGAAATAGGTACATTAAGAGGTGCTGATACACGTTGGCAAACACAAATGTAGACCATAGACTCTATGCTGCTGTGGGGCTCTCAAAACCTGTGGTGATTATTTTGTGGAGATTTCATTTTCCTGCAATCTCACCCCAGGCACATTTCTCTGTGGAGTTGAGTGAAAATTTTTTCTGCAAAGAGTACATTTTATATTTTACAGAAACATGCAAGACATTAAACTAAATCTTTGGGCTTGGCAGAAAAAAAATGCACAATGTTGATACCAGGAAAAAATAGCTTCTTGTTCCACCATCAGCTTTTGCTGTTCAAATACTAGCAAGTATCTTTGTACTTTCTTTTTATCCTTTTTTATCTTTTTTTTTTTACAAAAGTTGTTTTGGAAGAATAGGTCATTTACACAATATTAGGCTCTGTTGGCATGTCAACTGAAACGTGACTAGAACTAACCCCAAGATACACAAACCAGTTAAAAGTCGAACGTCCAAAAACATCCCCCCCCCAAAGACTCATATTCGGACTCTGTGACTTGCCACTCAAAAATAAGTAGTCAAAGTATTCAAGTATGTTTTCCAAGGAACAGCTTTCTTTTATGAGAAGGCTTTACGCAATGGGTACATCGGGGGAGTCTGTGCGTCTTTCAAGAACCAAGTCAATCTAAATTGCTTTAGTTCGCTGGAGAGCAGAGGATACCTAGAGGTATTAACTGTTTTTCCTTAACCCATGGGAGCCCACAAAAAACGTTGTGGCACTGTAAAAGAGGACAGTCTCCAAGGAATGTTGGGATGGTTCTACATGCTAGAGCTCTGGATGTACTCAAAGGTCTTTGTCCTTCATTGGCTAACCAACAGAAGTACCTTTCTTGATCTTCTTATGTCCGAGTCCTCATCAAGAAGTGTTCAACCAGACTGAGCAGAATGACAAAATATTTCTATCTGGTTTAAACTAAAGAAGGAAAAGGTACTTTTGGATCCTTTTTGACACGACATGAGGTTATTAGAAGGCTGCAATTGAAGTTGCTCTTCCTTCACAGCAGGTTTTTTTTGGGGGGGGTTGGGATAATAGACTGTAGAAAGTATCTTGACAACATCGTAAAAATAGTATCGTACGGAAATGGTGGTGGGGGGGCATCGTCCAGTTTTGATGTCATAATTAGTCTTGACATTAGTAAAATGCATATTGAGTGCTGGGTTTTACCTGCCTATTCACCCATCATGCAGCCCACCTCGCGTATGTTGAATTTTACCATCTCACACGTAAAATTTACAGAGATGGAAGAAAAAAGCAAAATAATTTAGATATTTGAAATAGATCAGTTTTAAATCATTGAGAATGGTAAAGAGGGACATAGAACACAAGATCAATTAATTTTAGAGGGAAGTTTAGAGAAAATGTATTCTCATACTATATAAACTTTATTTTAGGCCTTTTTGAAAACACTCGCTTTTGTTTGTTTTTAAGGCATTAGAATTTTGGCAAAATGTGTTTGACCACCTCAAACATGTCAGAACCCCAGGGGAAACCCTGGTTGATTAGAAATCCCATGCACCCGAAAGCATTCACATGTCTCTGCCAGAGGTTGGCACTTGCTGACAGAAATATTTTTGGCCCAAAACTTAAAACTTCATAAGTTTTGATATACAATCAGTGACACAAACAATGATTTTCAAGAGTCATCCAAACAATTTTGTACAATATTGCCTACTGCCAGCTCATATTTTTCAACTCTTTGAAAATGTCAGTGGAGCGATACTTGCAGGCTGTGCAAAGCGGCCGAGTTCAAATTCAAAAACTTTAGTCTGTCTCAGACTTTTCGAATTCCGTGTGTGTATATGAAACAATGGAGGAGTAACGTGCTTAAACTTCAGTCAGACAAGTTAAGGCACCCTTTATGTTTTTTAACTGATTCACTGTGCCTGTGTTGCAGCATCAAGAGCTCACCCTTGGTGTTACATGTAACATTGACACTAAATTAGTTTTGCTAAATGTTTATTTCTGTTCATCCAAGAGCGTATTTAGTGTCAATTACAGGATGAGGTGACAATCCAAAAGATAATGAAGAAATGTCAGTTTTATTAGAGGTGGGAGAAACCCCTGGAAGAGTTTTCCAGGAAAAACCCACAGAATCAGGCAGGAACTGAAAACCTAATGCACATGCCGACCTAGGTGGGATTGGAACATGGATCGCAGAGGTAGAATGCGAAGAGAGAGCCACTACAACTTGACGCCGCTTAATAACAAGTTTTTCTAATCATAGCAACCCCACTTATAAAATGCATCACTGTCTGTTCCCTAGTTTCTTACTTGACTTTTCTTTTTCTCCCATAGGAAGAGATACAGACTAAGCTGAACTGTAGCTGCCTGTCGTGGAACCCATCAAGGTAATCTTGGTCTCTGATGGTAAACGGGTAGCCACAAAGGACCTGTCTCTCTTCCCCATTGGATGGCTTACAGAAAAGTCTTGTCGCAAGAATTTATTGCTACTGTGCATGCTGCACTCCCTGGCACTGCTTGCAGTTGACCTGATTTTTAAACCAAGGCCCATTTAGAAAAAAGAGATTTCCTTTTTTTGTTGACCAGAATTTTTTTTTTCTGTTTCCTCCATCCATTCCCGTGTGGGTGTAATAAACTTGTGATACAGTAGAGTCATAATTTAAAGTATGAATCGTGGACAAAATAAATTGACACCTGTCAGAGGGTTTTGTCCATAACTTTCTGGTAAAATGCAAGCCACAACCCTGAGGGGTTATCCTTTTTTTGGGAGGGGGAGAGAGTTGTAGAGATGATGTTCACTTTATTAGCCCCGAGCTGGACCAAGCAACACAGGCTCCTTTGGTGGGCATTGCCTTTCACTGGTTCACAGATGACTTTGAAATACACTTATTACTGTTGCGTCGCTACCAACAAAATGAATCCTCCCCACCAACATGTTTCTTTTCAACCAGTGAGGGGGTGCTTCTGCTCAAGGTGGGTAGTGAATTATAGTTACAGTACAGGTACTTGTCTTGGAAGTTTGAAGCACATTCATCCTGTGTCGACCAATCATGTTCATTTTACAGCCCATAGTGACTTGGTGCCTTTGAAAAAAGACATTTAAGGACTTTTTTTTCTTCAAATTATTTCTTGTATACTATGCCTGCACCTGTGACTAGAAAGGAAAAGAAGAAAGATGATATGTTGTTCGGCAGGTCTACTTCCCTCATACACATAGGTTCATACGTAAGAGGCTTGTTTGTCATCTAATCCTGAGATTGAATAGAAATGACAAAAGGGTTTATTTGAAAACAAGAAAGGATATTTCCTCCTGGACAGTTCAGTGATATGGATATATGAACAAAATATGTTTTACTGTAAAAGCAAAGGGGGTTGGCTTCTTTGCAGACCTGTGACTGGTGCCCTTTTCCATACAAGCAAGCTAGTACGGGAGTTTCAGAATAGTGCTCCTCCAAGAGTTTGCAACGCGTTGGCCAATCACAATTGCTGAAATCTGTCGACCCAGCGCGCATTTGAAAAGGGTCGACAAATTTCGTGTGTTGTGATTGGCCAACACATAACAAACTCTTGGAGGTGCACTATTGTGAATCTCCTGGTTTAGCTTTGGCACACAACCAACATCCACCTTGATCAGATTTTTCAAGCTCTGTGTTCAAATTAACCCCCTCCCTGTTGGCAGAGTTAACTGATTATGTATGTTGCTGTGTGATCATAACCTCCCACTTGATTTCCTAGGGTGCATCCTCCCATGATTGCCGTAGGAAGTGACGATTCCAGTCCCTCCAGTGGCGGCAAGGTCCAGATATATGAATACAAGGAGAACGAGAGGTGAGGCATTGTGGGAAAGCTGTAAAAGTGAATGATGATGATGCTCAGCCTTTACGCATGTTTGAGATTGGGGGCCTGATGAATGGACAGAGTTATAATTTTATTTTATATTTTATTTTATTGTTTCATAATTTAGATATCGGAATTAGGTACCAGTTCTCCCCCGCCAAAAAAAAAATTTTTAAGTAAAAATTTACAAAACCATAAAGTGAAGCTTTTTTATCACATGATTTTTCTGCACACTACCATGCACTCCACTGTCAAACTTAATTATTTTCCCATTCTGCAGAGCAGAGCATGTATAATTGTATCAATAATAACAATTGCCCCTGACGTTTTCCTATAAATGTTCCTATAAAGCTCCCACAAAGTTCCTATAAATGCTTGTTTTCAGCATACCTGCTTGTCCGAATGCCCATATCTAATTGTTAGGGAGCCCGATTCCTTCTGTGCCTCCTTGTGTTGGAGTACAGTCATCAAACTAAAAAGGAGCACGACCACAACAAAGTTTTATTCATATATATGTTAGCTGATGCGAAAGTGAAGCGACTTTGATGTCATGAAACATTTGTTGTGAAATTTGCCAGAGTTAAATTGCGTTCAACTTTTGTGAATCCACAGTACAGATATTTGATCTGTGTGGCAAGTGTGAACCATCTTTAGTCTTTCAGTTTGTCCTGTGACATACCTATTTGAAATGAATCTCTGTGTTTCTGTGGTGTTTATTTATCACTTATCATTCCATTGACCTTTAAGTGGTATGTGTGGAGATACTGTGATTTTTTGTTCTGCTTGATTCGCGATCTGACTTTTCCTTGAGCAAAGTGATAGCTCTATGTAGACCTCAGTAATTAAATCATACAGTGTTGTTGGGACTACTGCACTTTTTAAAGTTCACATTAACTTGCCTCTTTGGAAACCGTAATTAAAGAGTAGAAATATGGGAGGAGGTGGTTCAGGGAAAACATATGCAGCAGTGTTTAAATTTAGAATCTTATCAAGGATTTGTTGGCATGTGAACCATGGAGGAATTTCCGTATTATGTCTTTCAGGGTTATTTTGGTCGGCATTTATAAATTTAGTGTTGGAGGTATTTCAAGGGGATAGATTGAGGAATCTGATAAGCCAGCAGTAAATAAAGTACCTTGGCTCTAATCACAGACCAGAATTTTGTATCTTTGTGATCGATTGACTCCTTTTTATGTAGGAAGAAGAAATGGCACAAAACAGATACGCTCATGAGCATCACCGAGGCTGTGCACGACTTGGCCTTTGCCCCCAACCTGGGTCGCTCCTACCATGTCATCGCCGTGGCAACTAAAGATGTCCGCATTTTGACCCTGAAACCTCTGAGGTATGGATGCCTTTGTGTTTGCATGTAAAGACGGTGATTTCATCTACATTGAAATGTGTTATGTGAAATGTTGTTATATTAAATTAAGAGAACAATTTTTTTAATTCCTACGAAAAGTTACAGAGAGACCAGTATAGCATTGGTGCTGTTTGGCTTCCCCCTTTTTTTACCTTGAACTATTCTAGTTTCATGTACTTGACACACACTGCTCACCTCGAGATTGCATAATGTACATCCACGTAACTGGAATATCCTTCACAGATTGCAAAATGCATGAATATTACCCATGGTATCCTTAGTACCAAATTGTACTTTTGGTTTGAAATTTGAAGACTCCTTCCACTAATACCTCAGACAGTTGACCCCTTTGTGTTGGTTGAGGGCCCACCATGTGGGTGGTGTTCAGCAGATGATAAAGTGACGAACTGGTTTTTATATGCTTTCCTGCAAAATTTTGACCCATAGTTTGTTGCAACCAGTTAGTTGTTATTCCAAAGTCACAATTTCACTCTGCTGTGTCTTGTGCTACATCAAGCAGTGCGCGCCACACATGCTACTTTCCTTGAATGCATTTATAAGGGGATTGTTTGGTACTTACCACGAATCACATGTCATAGATGTGGCTAGAGGGGCATTCACTAAACAGTAAGGTAAAATTGATGAACGAAATCATTGGTCAGATGTTGATCTATTATTTGATTTGACTTTCTGACAGGAAAAAAAGTTTTATGCATGGGAATACAAGTGCTAGGACCTAATCCCCGTAATGGACTTCAGCTTGCTCTGTTATCCTCCCCAAGTCCACATTATATTTAGACATGCTAGTGTGAAACCACTCATTCACACTTAATATTGTTCATGCTCTGTTTTTCTACACATTTCTGAATAACGAGAGGAAGGGAGTGACCCATTCTTCTCACAATGGAAGTCAGGACAATTTTCAAAAGGGTCCTTTTTGTTAAACAGGTTGCTCCCACATTTTTTCCAAGCGACATTTGGAAGTCAGCAACAACATGCTGGCTGTTAACTGGATTTCAGTGGTTAACAGGGGACAGTGAGAAATGCGGTTGCGTTTGGCGTAAGGTAGTGGGCAGAGATGGTAAGCCTGTGGTATCGG